GCCTGAGTTTTTAATATAACAGTGGCGTTAGGCAGAGAAAGCAGGTGTTACTTTTTATAACCAAAACATACTGGCTGTTGTTTGCCCAAGTGCTGGGTCATCCGATCCTGGGTGTCCAGAACTCGCCTTACCCTTGAGATAAAGCCCTCTCGTGATTTGACTGTTCAGCCAATACTGGAGAAACCCTGGCTCTCCCGCCAGTCCCCGGCCTCTGGGCCCTGCGGCACGTGGTGGCTTCTGAGGGGAGCAGCCACGACTGCTCATCCGGGCCCGGGGAGGAGGGGGAACGCCCACCGCACGGAGGATCTCGGCAGCCCCAGGAGAGCAGTGAGGCAGCCATGGGTCTCAGAGCCAGTTAGGGGCCATTCCTGGGAGCTCGCCGTGCAGAGTGGCAGGGGGTCTGTCCTGTTATCGGGACAGTTGTCATCATGTGGTGTTAGCCCCGGAAACCACCTAAGAGATCGCTGCGCGCAGCCCTTTATTTTATGGAGGAATAACTGAGTCCCGGGCTTGAGAAGAGGGTTTCCTGGCGACACATACCAATTTAAAGTTCAAGAAGAGTCCGGGTGCGGTGGCTCACACTCGTAACCCTAGCACTCTGGGAGGCCAAGGCGGGAGGATCGCTCAAGGTCAGGAGTTCAAGACCAGCCTAAGCAAGAGCAAGCAAGACCCCATCTCTTCTAAAAATGGGGAAAAAAACTAGCTGGACAACAAAAATATATAGAAAAAAACTAGCCAGGCATGGTGGCGCATGCCGGCAGTCCCAGTTACTCGGGAGGCTGAGGCAGGAGGATCGCTTGAGCCCAGCAGTTTGAGGTTGCTGTGAGCAAGGCTGACACCACGGCACTCTAGCCCAGCGACAGAGTGAGACTCTGTATCAAAAACAAATAAATAAATAAATAAAAGTTAAAAAAGATAAAGTTAAGAAGAGATGAAATCACAGTTCACAGTCAGCACTTAGCATTGGCCCTACTGTGGGATTAACTGCCCTGCTGTCTCCACCAAAAACCTAGATGTTCCAAAACTGTGTTTGCTTTCCCAAAGTTGCTTCTTCCTTATTAAAACTTCCGCTGTTCCTTAATAGCTCCAGCCAAATTAAGCAGAATCACACCACCTCTTGACCCTCTGACATCTGTCCTTTGAGGATATTACACAAATAGAAGCACCTAGACCTACAGTCACCTGGGAGCTCAGGTTCTGAATGTGAGGGCCCCCCCAAATCGACTCACACCAATCCTTACACGGAACCTGACTATACCCCACACCTGACCCTGACCCTACTCCATCCCCAACCCTAACACCACCGCCTACACTACTGCACCACCAACCCTAACCCCACCCCTGACCATACCCCACCCCCTATCCTAACCCCAACACTGACCCTACTCCATCACCAACCGTAACCACACCCCCTACCCTACCCCACCCCCTATCCTAACCCCAACACTGACCCTACTCCATCACCAACCGTAACCACACCCCCTACCCTACCCCAGAGAGAGATGTCCTCTTGCAGAAAAAGGAAAAGGAAACTGGATCCAGCATAAGGCCCAGTTCCTCTGGCAGACAGCGCCACTTCTGGGCCAGCCCTGGAAACCGCAAATCGTTTTCGCTGACCCAGCATTTTTGTTACACGTCTATTGCTCCTCTTGTCTCAATTGCAATGGAACCGTTTTTATTTTCTCTTTGTTTTTTTCTTTCGCTGAGCTTAAGTTCCGCTGCCGCTGTCTGTGAACGGAGGCGCCGTCCTTCCTGCACTCACAGCACCGGGTCCCAGGCAGCTTTCAGAAGCCAGGGCACACGCCGCGGCACGACACTCTCACCTACTGATGAGCCTCCACTCCCCTGCCCACTCACCTGCCCCTCATCCCACTCACCTGCCCACTCCTGCCCACATCCCTGCACATTGCCATACCTGCCACTGCCCCACTCCCTGCCCACCTGCACTCTCGCACCCTGCCACTCACCTGCCACTCACCTCCCCACCTCACATGCCATCCCCTGCCATCTGCCCACTCCCTGCCACTCACTCCCCACTCACAATGCCCATACATGCCCACTCTGCACTGCCCACTCCCTGCCCACTCACGCTCCCACCGCCACTCTGGCCACTCACATGCCACAATCCC